GGTTCCGGACGCACCTGGCAGGGCCGCCAGCAGCAGGAGAGCCAGGAACGGGAGCGAGCTCGAGGCCATGGCCGGGATCTGCCGAGTCCGGGGTCCCCCGGGGGGTTTTTATAGGGGAAAGGGGCGGGGTTTGGGTGGGAAAAGGGGGCGTGGCTTGAGGGAGGGGGCGGGGTTTCGGGTTTTGGCGGGAAAATGAGGGCCGGAGGCGATTAAAGAAAGGGTTAATTGGGTTGGGGTTGAAGGGTGGAAGGGGTTAATTAGATAGGTAATTAGCCGGCCTGGTGTTAATTGCCGGGGTCTGGTTCGTTAATTAACGGGTTCGTTAATTAACAACAGTTGGTTGTGGGGGCCCCACTCGTTAATTAAGGGGCCCAGAGTAATTGCAAAAGGCTGATTCATTAATTAATAGGTCTAAAATAATTTCCAGAGCCTGATTCATTAATTAATCGGTCTGGGGTAATTGCACAAGCCCAGTTCATTAATTAATAGGTCCGAGGTAATTGGAGAAGTCTGATTCATTAATTAATAGGTCCAAGGTAATTGCAAGAGCCCCATTCATTAATTAATAGCTCTGAGGTAATTGCAGAAGTCCGATTCATTAATTAATGGCTCTAAAATAATTGCAAGAGCTCGTTTCATTAATTAATGGGTCCGAGATAATTGCACAAGTCCAATCCCTTAATTAATGGGTCTAAAATAGTTTCCAGAGTCCGATTCATTAATTAATAGGTCCGAGGTAATTGCAGAAGTTCGATTGATTAATTAATAGGTCTGATTTAATTGCACAAGTCCGATTCATTAATTAATGGGTCTAAAATAATTTCCAGAGCCCGATTCATTAATTAATAGGTCTGAGATAATTGAATAAGTCAGATTCATTAATTAATAGGCCCGAGGTAATTTCAAGAGCCCAATTCATTAATTATTAGGTCCGAGCTAATTGTAGGCACACGATTCATTAATTAGTGGGTATGGGTTGATTGCGGGGGCTCAGTCTGTTAATTAATGGTGTTAATTGCACTAGTCCAATTCATTAATTAATGTAATTGAGGTCATTTCAACACGCCGATTAATTAATTAATTGCACCCAGTTAATTGCAGGCACCAAATTCATTAATTAATGGGCCCAAGGTAATTTCAAGAGCCCTGTTCATTAATTAATAGGTCCCAGTTAATTGCAGGCGCCCAACTCATTAATTAATGGGTGTGGGTTGATTGCTGGAGTCCATTAATTAATGGGTCCGGTGTTAATTGCAAAGGTCCAATTAATGGGTCCTGGTTAATTGCAGGAGTGAGGTTAATTAATGGAGCCGGCAGTGTTAATTTCAGCTAATTAAACAGGTTAATTGCAGAAGTCCAATTAATCAATTAACGAGTCTGTTCCGGTTCATTGCCACTCATTAATTAAAGGCTGGGCGTTAATTACCGGCATCCCTTTAAGTAATTAATGGATCCAGGTTAATTGCAGGAGTGCGGGAAATTAATGGCTCCAGTCCTATTAATCGTCATTAATCAATTAATTAATTAAAACCGCGGGGTTAATTGCAAGCGTTCCTTTAAGTAATTGATGGATTGGGGTTAATCACGGACATCCAATTAATTAATTAGCCGAAGGCTCGGTGTTAATTTCAGGCAATTAATGGGTCTGGGTAAATTGCAGGAGTCCAATAATTAATTAAAAGCCCAGGGTTAATTGCTGATGTCACTTTAAGTAATTAATAGATTGGAGTTAATCACCAGGGCCAATTAATTAATTAATGGGTCCGGGCTAGTGTCAGGAGCGGGGTTAATTAACGAATCCATGGGGATCGATCAGCATTAATTAATTAATCAGTGGATCACGGTTGCATTAATTGCAGCAATTAATGAATTAAGGTTAATCACCAGTGACCAGCTCATGAATTAAGTGATTAATTAATGCGCTAGTAATCAGGCAATTAATGGGGCGGGACCAATCACGGGCTTCCGTTTAATTAATTAAGGAATCGGCGTTAATCACAGGCAGCCATTAATATGTTAATTAATTATTTGGGATGGAGCACAGGAGCCCAATTAATTAATGGATAAATAAGGAGTAATAACCGGCAGCTGGGCAATTAATTAATTAAGGGATTAATCGGGATCGATCACGGGGGTCCAATTAATTAATTAACCGGGATTAATCCAAGGCATCCAATTAATTAATTGATTAACAAATATATTTAATTAATCCCAGGCACCCAATGCTTTAATTGATGAATTTATTAACGATGAAATCTCCGGGCAGATTCACCCAATTAATTAATTCACAATTAATAAACCACCACAATTACTACAATTAATTAATTGAACAAGCCATTAATTAGTTGGGCGGGCTTCCAATTAATTATCAATTTAATATAATTTTTTTTAAAATTTAATTGCTTTAAATTTTAATTAATATTCAAATTAATTAAGGATTTGGGGGAGGGGGAGGATTAATTCTGGGATTAAAACCGAAATTCCCGAATTAAATCATTAACGCGGGGAATTAATTAATTGCGATTAATCGCCGTTAATGAAGGGCGGCGATTCCTCCCCCCCCCCTTTTGGTGACGTCATCGCTTTTGGCGGGAAAAATCCCAAACCCGCGCGGCCGCCAGGGGGCGCCATTCCAGCAAAAATTGGGGATTTTTGGGTCAAAATCGGGGAAAAAACCCGAAATTTGGGAAAGGAACCGGGGCGGGATCGGGGCCAAAACCCCGAAATTGGGGAAAACTCCCAAGATTTGGGTTAAAAACGGGGAAATTTGGGAAAAAAACCGAGAAAAGAACCGAGGGATGGGGTCGGAGGGAGGGAAAAAAAAAAACAGGGAGGGAAATTTTGGGGTGGAAAACCTGAAATTAACCAACTAATTAATTAATTGGAGACCGCAGCCTGTTGCTACACCGTTAATTACCCAATTAACGCTAATTAAAAACCTGAAAGGATGGGAAAAGCACAAAAAATGCCCCAAAATCCCGATTTTTTACCCCAAATTTTGCCCTCAAAACTCGATTTTTTTTGTCCCCAATCCTGACGGGTTCCACCCAAAATTCATCCGGGAGCCAAAACCTGGAGATTTGGCCCCAAAATCTCCCCCCTGGGGGGCGGGACTGGGGAGCCCAGATTTGGGGTCAGAAATGGGAGTTTGGGGTGCGGGGACCTGGGGGCGGAAGGGGCTGAGGGGTTTGGGGTGGAAATTTGGGGTGAAACCGGGGGATTTTGGGACCTGAATGGATCCGTAATGAGGGTGCTGAGATGGATCCAGAACCTTCTGGAAGAACCTCAGCACCCTCAGGATGGATCCAGAACCTTCTGGAAGCCCCTCAACACCCTCGGGATGGATGCAGAACCTTCTGGAAGCCCCTCAAGACCCTCAGGATGGATCCAGAACCTTCTGGAAGTCCCTGAGGAACCTCAGGATGGATCCAGAACCTTCTGGAAGCCCCTCAGCACCCTCAGGATGGATCCAGAACCTTCTGGAAGCCCCTCGGGACCCTCAGGATGGATCCAGAACCTTCTGGAAGCCCCTCAAGACCCTCAGGATGGATCCAGAACCTTCTGGAAGTCCCTCGGGACCCTCTGGATGGATCCAGAACCTTCTGGAGACGCCTGGGGGGGGATGGGGACACACCTGGATACACCTGGGACACACCTGGGGACATTTGGGGACACCTGGACAGACCTGGGGGCTCCTGGGGGGCACCTGGGGACAGCTGGGGGCACCTGGAACCCAGTCTGGAACCTGACCTAGAACCGGATCTAGAACCTGACCCAGAACCCGATCTAGAACCCAGTCTAGAACCCGATCTAGAACCGTCTAGAACAGTCTAGAAACCCGATCTAGAACCCGATCTAGAACCGTCTAGAACGCACCTAGAACCTGATCTAGAACCCGATCTAGAACAGTCTAGAACACACCTAGAACCCAGTCTAGAACGCACCTAGAACCCGCTCTAGAACGATCTAGAACGGTCTAGAACACACCTAGAACCCAGTCTAGAACCCAGTCTAGAACGTTCTGGAACCTGGTCTAGAACCCGGTCTAGTACACACCTAGAGCGTGCCTGGGACACACCTGGGGACACCTGGGGACACCAAAAACACACCTGGGGACACCTGGAACACACCTGGATACACTTGGGGACACCCAGAACACACCTGGGACACCTGGAACACACCTGGGACACCTGGGGACACCCAGAACACACCTGGAACACACCTGGGACACACCTGGGACACACCTGGATACACTTGGGGACACCCAGAACACACCTGGGACACACCTGGGACACACCTGGGACACAGCTGGGGACACCTGGGACACACCTGGGACACACCTGGACACACCTGGGGACACCTGGGGACACCCAGAACACACCTGGGAACACACCTGGAACCCAATCTAGAACCGCTCTAGAACCGAGTCTAGAACCGAGTCTAGAACCGAGTCTAGAACCGCTCTAGAACCCAGTCTAGAACGTTCTAGAACCGCTCTAGAACCGAGTCTAGAACGTTCTAGAACCGAGTCTAGAACCTATCTAGAGCCCAGTCTAGAACCCGGTCTAGAACACACCTGGAGACACCTGGAGACACCTGGGGACACCTGGGGACACCCAAAACCACACCTGGGGACACCTGGAGAACATCTTGGGGACATCTGGGGACACCTAGGAGTCAATGGGAACAGCTGGGGACACCTGGGGACACCTGGGACACACCTGGGGACATCTGGGGACACCTGGGGACACCTGGGGACACCTGGGACACACCTGGGACACACCTGGGGACACCTGAGACACACCTGGGCACACCCAGACACACCTGGGACACACCTGGGGACACCTGGGACACACCTGGGCACACCTGGGGACACACCTGGGCACACCTGGGGACACACCTGGGCACACCTGAGGACACCTGGGGACACCTGGGGACATCTGGGGACACCTGGGACACACCTGGGGACACCTGGGGACACACAGGGACACCTGGGGAACACCTGGGATACCTGGGGACACCTGGACACACCTGGACACACCTGGGTGGGGACAGGACAGGTGTGACAC